GTATCTTTCTAAATGTCATCAAGCTAAGACGAAAAGATGCACTTTTAATTTATGCCAATCCCTTTCATAATTTCACTTTATTTATCTGTACCGTAATATACTTGATAATTACTTGGACATGATCCATTATCCTGAATTTAGTTCAGAGCAGGCACAAAGGTCACCTGCTATAGTTAGATTTTGTTTAAGAAAAAGCAATAATTAAAGGATATATTAGATTTTTAACACTTAAATGGAAACAAGAACAAAGTGGTAATCACTTTCTTCGGAGAGAGAACATTTTTTCGTATACATTTTATTTTAGTTTAAAAAAAATTTAGGACACATGATAGATTCATATGGTCCAAAAATGAAAAAATGTAAAATGTTTTCCAGTGAAAAATTTCCCTCCCATCTAGGCCTGTCAGAAATGCATTTTCCCTCCTCATAGACAATGTTACTAATTTTAGTCTAGACTTTCAGAGATATTATATATACGCACAAAAACTTTTTTCTATTCTTTTGTTCACAATTTTTTACATGCAATACATAATTGTTTGTACCTTAGGTGTTTTTCCCCAAGAAACAATAGTTCTTTGATACCTTTCAAAGAAAAAATGTTTTTTCTGTGTGTTTTACAGGGTATTGTTAGTATTCCATTACATGGATATGCCAAATACTTAAATTTATTTCCAATATTTTGTTATTACAAACAATGCTGCAGTAACTAAACATCCATACATGTCATATAGTATGTGTGTACTTAGATCTATAGGATAAATTCCCAGAAACCAAGTTATTTTATCATGGGATATGTACATTTAAAATTCTGATAGATACTGGCAAATTCCTCTCTATATTAATTACAGTAATTTACACTCCCTGGATCCCATTTCTACAATTTTACAGCTCCTCTAATTTAGCATGTATATCTAAAATTTAATTGTCCAGTTCAAACAACAGATGAAATTTCCGTAATTTTTTTTTTTTTTTTTTTTTTTGGTGGGAATGAGAGCTTCCTGTGAGTGTTGACTGTAGTGATGTCTCACTGGGAATGGATGAGAAGAGCCACTTTATTTTCAGACTCAAATGGCAGAAGGGGATCTAACATTATTTAGTTAATTTTTGCCTCCTGAGTGGACCATCACTAATTGGTCCATCCTTTCAACCTAGAAAATTCTAATTGGGATTCTGAGAATTTCCTAAGTAACTCCATATCTGCGCCACTGTTGAGATGCAGTGTGCCCAGTCCATCTTTGCTATAGGAAGTATTTAAATCCCATTGAAATATATTGTATTTTTAAAATTCTAAATGCAGAAGTGGAAAAAAGTTGGTAACATCATAAGTGAAGGCCATGTTCATCTCTTGGACTTCTTTTCTCTAGACTATGTCTTCAAAATTCTTTTATAAAATATCATGACAGAGCTACTGGGGATAGTACCCTCCACTGAGGATAGTTTCCAGGTTTGCTGAATGGAAACTACACTTGAACCCTTCAGCAGCTTACCTCCGCTCTTTAGCCCAGCAGAAACTGATCTTTTTTCCTCCTCTTTCTCACCCAGTGGTTTACATCCAAGGTCAGCAGAAGCCATATTCAAAATTTCTGATCCAGAATCTACCATCAGGAAGAAATGAACAGCATGAACACTATGCAAAAGGATTATTTGCTTTTGTTCTTTTCATTTGCATGCACCTCAGCAGGTCAGAAAACAGCAAACTTATAGCTATAATACTAACATTCTATTTTTGTATCTTTTCCAATCCACTCACCACTTGGAGTCACAGTACTTTCTGTAGATGAAGTGTGTCCAGGTGATGGTAGCGTGGAGTGTTCCCTGTCAAAGGAGTAGAAGAAAAATTTTTGAGTGTTGGTTCCAAAGAATTTTCTTAGAAATTAACAGGATATGCCCCCAAATTCACACACACAAACAAACTAGCAAACCTGGGCTGTGGCAGGCTCTCAGAATATGAGTGTTCAACACCATTCTCCTTAAGGAGAAAAAAAAAAAGGGAGAAGTTTAACAATTTGACATTTTCCATTCCAGAGAGGCTGTGTTAAGCAAATATTTTCATACAATTTTAAATGAACCCATATTTGCTTTTCTCTTTTGGAGAGGAGCTGGGAACGGGATGGTATAGGGCAGATAGTTATACATACTTCCTCAAAGCTGTACTTGCCAAAAAAAAAAAACCAATTTCAAGCATACTCACAAGTCTAATATTTAAAGAAAACCTGATGGATTCTTGGGCAAAGCAAATTCTAAACTTAAAGGGCACATAGAGTTTATATCATGAACTTAAATTTTCTTTAAACAGAACATTCTAGGTGGGCATGAGACAACATTTCTATTTACGGAAATATTACTCAACCTAAAACTTCTGACTTGGTGATTTGAAAATGGTTCTCAATGTTCCAGCTAGACACGTAATACGTTTTAAATTTAATCCAATTCTCAAAGATCCCAGGGATTATATCTAAGTCAGCACCTATTATTTGGCATTCAAGTGGAGCTTAATGAAATTATAGTCCTAGCCTGCCAAGGCAAGTGTTTGAAAGCCTCACTTGAGCTTCCTGATCTCTAACAGGAGCTCCTAATTTGGGGGGAACTTTAGGACATTACGCTGGATTACTTTGCTTATTCTCTTTTCAAAAAATATAGTGGGCACATAGGTTCCTCTTGAATAAAAAGCTTTTCTAATGTTTTCATGATTAGTTGGTTTATTTAAGAAAATCCATTAAAATTTCATAAATTAAAACAGAAATCATTTGGACATAACAAAACCCTGCACTGACAATACAAAAATGGACACATTTAAATATTCCATAATCAAACCTAGAACTTATTCCCTGCCACAAGCCACAGCATGTTTCAAAGCAGGGATGCTGAATATCACACACAGTATTGAGAATCTATCCAAAATAACAGTGACTACAGTCACAGAAAGGAAAAGGTTTAGCAAGAGCTTGCTGAATACATAGTTATTCAACACAGACAATAACGACTTACTGTTCAGCATATTAAAATTTACAGAAGCCCTTTTATGCATTATCTTATTTAATTCTCCCAACCATATGCAGTGGGTTTTAGCCAACCAACAAACAAAAAAGGATTTACCCATTTCAGATAAGGAAGATAAAACCAGTGATTAAGCAATTTCCCAGAAGTATTCCGATAGTGGCATCAGCCTCTTCACCCCAGCTAGACTAAACACAGTGTCCTCCCCACTGTCTCTGAGATACCATAAGGCCATTGGACGGGCAAAGCCTTTCTAGCTGTGGTCTTACACTTGTAGATGATTTGCATATAAACTTTCTAAATGTTCACCTCACATGTTTAGAAAAATCTACAATCAAACTTGCACAGCAAGAGTTTACACCTAATTCTTCTATTAATAAATGTTGGGCAATCATCTTTTATTGTTTCATTTCATCTCTGCTTTAAATATCTTTGAGTCAGACTAGATGTGACTGGAGCCCCTTCTGACAACAGTTTAATTTAATTCAACAACATTCATCAAAAGCCTTTCACTGTTTCTGGCGCAAAACAGAAAGGCTGGAGTAACCAAAAGCACAGTCCTTGTCCCAGAGCAGCTCACAGGCCAGTCAGAAAGACAAACATATAAAGCAAACACTCCATAAATTATAGGCAGCATTCCACAGAGGAAAGTAATACTCACAGGACAGAGTAGGGTAACATTTGAATTAAATTTTGAAGAGAACGTGTACCTTATACTCCACAGTTAGTTAAATGATAGTAGCTTTCTCCTTAAAATATTTAAATAGATTGTTTAGTAATTATTATATGCTTGTTTAACTATATGCTGATATATATGTACGAAATGAAGTTATAAAAATAGGAAAAAATGAAACACCCTTCAGTTTCATTGAGTATCACACCATGTAAAAGTCAGCAAGGATTGACTCTTTAATAATAAAAAATCAGGCCCATACATATATCCAGAAGGAACCCTACTTCAGGATGACACCTGCACCCCAGTGTTCATAGCAGCACTATTTACAATAGCCAAGACATGGAGACAGCCTAAATGTCCATCAACAGATGACTGGATAAAGAAGATGTGGTATATTTATACAATGGAATACTACTCAGCCATAAAAACTGACAACATAATGCCATCTGCAGCAACATAGAAGCTCCTGGAGAATGTCATGCTAAGTGAAGTAAGCCAGAAAGAGAAAGAAAAATACCATATGAAATCGCTCATGAGAAATCTAAAAAAAAAAAACCAAAAAACAAAACATAAATACAAAACAGAAACAGACTCATAGACATAGAATACAAACTTGTGGTTGCCAAGGGGGCGGAGGGTGGGAAGGGATAGACAGGATTTCAAAACTGTAGACTAGATAAACAAGATTATACTGTATAGCACAGGGAAATATACACAAGATCTTCTGGTAGCTCACAGAGAAAAAAATATGACATTGAATATATATATTTTCCCATGTAATTGAAAAATTGTGCTCTACACTGGAATTTGACACAGCATTGTAAAATGATTATAAATCAATAAAAAATGTAAAAAAAAATCGGGCCCATTAATACTCTATAAAATATAAAAGTGTGCTTTTACATGAGGCTTGAAGTAATCCTTATCACTGTGCTATAATTAATAATATATATTATATATAATAATAATTATTATATTGCACTAACTAAAAAGCTAATTTTTTTCAGAAAAAGATTTCTTATACTGATCACAGTCATGGATTCTTGTATTTGAATTTAAGAGGTACGAAAGGAAACACAGTTATTTTCTATTCAACTCACTGATTTCTAAAATTAGGGAAAAGGGAACACACATTATTTCTGTAAACTTTGTTTTTCAAAAAAGGCTAGTTATTATTTAAAATCAAAATAATAGCTACAGCAAAAACACAGTTTGCCTCCATTATGTTACAGATGAGTCTCATTTGTTGTAATGCTCTGTGTCAAGTCTTTTTTTTTTGTCCTATTCTTTATATGTGAAACCTTTTGGTAAACATAATATATTTACTGATTAAATTAAATAACAATCCTGTGAATTTAGTAGCCATGCATTACTACATTATTCTGGAACAGTTACAAGGAAATTGGATATTAGTGGTTATTATCCCAAATTCATTTATCTATAAATCTCACTGATCAGAAAACACCCCATTACATATCTCAATCCTAGATTTTCAGACATTCAGTTGAACATTTTTTCCCAGACAAAAGAAGGAGATTTTTTTCCCCAAAAATTTAGGATTATAGTTCATGAAGGTTGGAGATAAAGCCCCTCAGGGTGTCTGTGCTTGTGAAGTGGTGGGGGCGGGAGGGACAGACATAACTCAGCAAAAACTTTCTACAACTGTGCCCTTTTCTTCCAGCTTCAAAATTTACCCCTATTCAAACCAGCTTCCCAGACCCACAGGAGAACCTAACCCACACAACAGCTGTAGGACTTGGGCAGATCATAAAAAAGACAAGCTACTAGATATACCTTAAAACCAAGGACAATCAAAAAATTGCCTAAAAGCAAGAAAAAGAAAGTTCAGAAGAGAGACTTACATGGAGAAGTCTGGCTCAAGTCAATGGGTCTAACATGCTGACGGCATCGAGCAGGAAGCATACTCTTCCTGTCTGAGCCATTCAGATATCAACCTGCATAACATTTACATGGAAATCCGTGGTCCAGCCCATTTGCTTTTGACAGTAAAAGTCTACCATAGGGTGGGGTAGCCAAGGCGCTCAAGGAACAGAGTGAGACATTCTCCCATGGGCTGGGTCAGCCAATGTAGGACAAACACACACACATGCATCACACACACACACACACACACACACACACACACAGAGCAGTATTATTTTAATATTTAGATAGAAAAACATGATGAACAATAAGAAATAACTTCTAAGATATTAGTAAGGGTAATTAATAGGCCTAGATAATTACTCTTCTACATGAAATGCTATTTTATCCATAGATTTTATGATCAGAAACCCTTCCACCAATAAATACTCACATTACCAATGTAATTTTTACTTTTAGATCCATTTTAGGCAATTGACCCTATTCAAATTAATATGATTTTCCGAGAGAAGGAAAACTGAACATAAGGAGTCTTTATAGACTTATTTCACTCTAACTTAAAATACCCATGACTTGGAGTCAGTTTCAATGTTCTAAAAAGAAAGGAATGTAAAACTGAATGTCAAAAGATTACAACTGCTGTAATCTAAACAAAACTAAATGCCTTCACAAGTTTTTTTTTTTTCCCCTCCAATTTCTAACTAAAAGGACACCACACCTTCAGATCTACAGGACACACCTACCACTTTGAGGTTCATTTATAATACAGTTATCAGCCAATTTCTGCATGTCCCAATTTTGCAACTGGCAATGTTACTCATTTTCCAAAGTTATTAAAGCTGCACCCATACACGGCTTGAGAAAGCAGGAGAGACAATGGCCAGGAAATCTTCTGAGATATTTTGAACAGAACAGAAATTGATTCTGTTCTTTGCTTCATAAATCATCTTCTCCTAGTAATAGTAAATCATAAACAAAAACATGTCATAACAAGAAGGAGACCTCAAAGGGGATCAAAAGACACTTCACATTTAGTGTATGTGATTTATGTAACAGCCAAAGTGAAACAGAAATTCATCTCCGTGTCCCCTGACCTGTATCCTCTGAGCTTCACACTGCTGACACTTCTGGTTCTGGGTGACAGTTACAGCTGCTATTTTCTGGGTGTCCACCATGAACCAGGTACTTCTCTTATGTTATAAAGTATCTTGTTGGGATCAAACCTGAGATTGCAGTAAGTAGAGGGGAGAGTCAGTTTCATTGTCATAGAATTTTCATGGAACTTCTTAATTCTTGGAGTGTGCAGGGACACACATAGGTACCTAATCACATGTCCAGTTTTGCAAAGGCCCAGACACACTATAATTGCTATTGACTCAATGGTGGGAGCAGTGAGGCAGGAAAGAAAGACAGATTAGAACGAGAGACACCTGAGCCCTAGGGAGAACCTGCCAAGGGTGAGGAAGAACTGAGCAAGTTGGGCCAAAGGAACAGCTGGGTCTAGCTATCAAAGGGAGCAGAGATACCCAACATTGTAAAATGATTATAAATCAATAAAAAATGTTTAAAAAGTAAAATAAAATAAATAAAATTAAAAAAACAAAAAAACCCAAAGGGAGCAGAGATCCTCAAGCCGGTGGGAGACAGTGTCTCCAGCCAGCCCTGCTGGACTGTCTCTTTGCATTGAAAAGCAGAGGATAATTTTAAGAACTGCATCGCAAGGAATCCACCCAACATCACACTCAGACCTCACTCTGCAAGCGCTGAAAACAAGAAGGGAGAGTCATCTCTCTACTGACCAGGGAAGGGAGATCACCAAAGGTCTAGACACAGGGTTCGAAGGAGGTCAGCCGTGGGGTAGGGCCCGTAGGCAGTGTGGACAGCAAAGAGGACTGCAGAGATGTGAGTGGTGAAACTGTCTGCCTTCTCCCACAATCTCTCAGGGGGTCAAGCGTCCTTCCCTGGGACCCACTAGTTGGTGAGGTCAAAAGGACATTGAGATATCCTGGTATGCTCCCCAAGAGGTTCTTGGAAATGTTGAGAAGGGACCCCCTGAAACAAAAAGGACTTCCTATTCATCAGCAAGTAGGGAAACAGCGCTGAGTTTTGTCTTTCCTCTCAAAGTGACCTGCTGGGTTTGCTTCCACGGACTAAGCCAGAACTCAGCTGTTGCAGATATATATAGGTGTATGCATATGTGTAATATATGTACATGTGTGTGTGTGTATTTGAATCCCCAAAAGAACTCTGCAAAGTAATATCTCTGTTTCACAAGGGACGCACACAAATTGAAAGAGGTTAGGCCATGTGTCCAAGTTCACACAGCTAAAGAGTAACAGAGCCAGCTTAAACCCACACCTGCTTAATTCCAAAGTCCATGCTATGTGGCTAAAAATTCTAAGTCATTGCTTGGAAATATTTCAAACAAATACAAACGTAGACAGGATGGAATAATTACCCTTTGTGTACCCATTCTGCAGATTGGACAATGATCAATCTATGACCTATCTGGTTTCCTCTATACCATCACCCACTAAACCTAACCTGGCATTATTTTAAAGCATATCCCAGATACCATTAACATTTCTTTCATAACTATTTTAGTCTGAGTCTGTAAAAGACAAAAACTGGAAATAATCTCTTTCCTTTTTTCCTCTTTACACTAAAAACTCCCAAAAAAAAAGAGATTTCACTGGGTCACTAAGGTAGCTCTGTTCTCCCCAAGAATGTCCCGAACTGGACCCCAAATTATTTTTCCTATGAGATGTTCTTGAGATATTTCTTTTGTTGGAGTCCCTTGCTTACCCAAAGATCCTCTTATAAATACTGATGGTCACTCTCATCTCATGCTGTGCTTTCTGAAAAATCGCATATAGCTTCCTCTATGAATATGGGAGGGAAATAAAAAAAATAAATCTCGGGTTCTCAGGAACACCAGTCAGAAAGCAAGAAGGCAAGACTGTCAACTCAACAAGCTCATTGAGTGCTCGTGCTCAATGTTTTCAACAGACCCTGTAGGGCGTACAAAAATAAATAGGCAAACGGGCACTCAACAAATATTAACGGAGCAGCCACTGTTCAGCGAATCTATGCAGGGAGATAGTTTAACATTAGTTAATGGCCAAACAAAGGCAGTCTAGAATCTGATACAGGAACACGAATAAGAAAACAAATAACTACAATGTAACCAAAATAAAGGTGACAACCAGAGGAGGACACAGTTACTGGGGTCCAAGAAAAGCGTGAACTTGTTTTTCCCTGAGTGGGATGCTTGGGGAAAGAGGGAACTGAGGCCTGAAGGTCAAGACTTTTGCATTGTCGCAGAGAAGCAGAGCCAGGGAAAATGCCCATCTCTCCACTTCTAATCCATTATGATCTCCACCTCAAGAAGGACTTAAGATGCCTGACTGTGAACATTTCTTGCTACCGCAAGAAAGGTTTTATGGAACCCTTGGTTTTTGAAATGGGCCTTGACACGCAAACAGAATTTGAGATCCGGAGAAGTGTACAGCGTTCTGGGCAGGGAGAACAGTGCAGGCAGCTTTGTATGATATGTTCTGACAACACAGACTACCTCGCTCGGCGACACTTAGGGACAACTCTACGGCAGTGACAGGGAAAGGATGGAAAAGTAGGTTGCAGTCGGGTTAGAGAAGAGCTCACATACCAGGTCAACTTGTTTGTCACAAAGGCCTTCAAGAGTGACAACATGCTGACAGTTGGAAGCCAAAGAATTAAGAAAACACAATGATTTATGGGTCGCTGAGGTAAACACGGATTCTATGTTTCGTAATTTTTTAATATTTGATAGTGAGGTATTTAATTATTTTCCCCCCAATTTTGTTTATTTATTTATTTTTTAATTGAAGATTGAAGTATAGTCAGTTTATTTCAAAATGTAGAACAGATAAACAAGATTGTACTGTGTAGCACAGGGAAATACATACAGGACCTTGTGGTGGCTCACAGTGAAAGAGAATGTGACAATGAATGTAGGTATGTTCATGTATAACTGAAAAATTATGCTCTGCACTGGAATTTGACACAACATCGTAAAATGACTATAACTCAATAAAAAAAAAGTTTGTATATTTAAAAAAATGTGGGCATCAAATTAGTTAATTTAATTAATTTCTGGTGTACCACGTAGAGATTCAATTATACTATATATATTCCTTTTCATATTCTTATGTTTTATAATTTTAATTTCAGATTTTATTCTAATTCCCTGTACTTACCATTACTGAGAATGCTTGGGCAAGCACTGTCGAGGGAGAGCTTTCTATCTGTTTCAGAGATGGGTGTGGGGTGGGGGATGAAGGGGCAGGCGGTGGGGTTTACTCAAGGGACAGGCAGGAGGGCGTTAATAGGACGCACGGATTCTTCAGTGGAGTGGAAACCTGGAAAGAGGATGGTGGGAATTGGTGGCATCAGCCACAGAGTGCAGGTGACAGCCCAGGTCCTGGGGACTACAGAAGAAATGGTGCAGAGACGGCACAGAAGCCTTCAGGGAGCCCACGCACTTCCCCTGGAGCATCTGACAGGAGTTTCTCGTGTGATCTCTGTTAGCTCCTATTTCTTAGAGGGTGTCAAGAACATAGACAAAACCCCTCGGTCACATGTCCTGATGAGAGTGGATAAGGAGGCCCTTTTAGAAACATAAGGCAGTACATTTCTTAGCCAAAAAACTACTTTCAAGATAACTGTGAGTAATTATTATGATTGAAATGTCTAAATTCAATGTTCTAAGAGGAGTTGTGGGAAGGGCTTAATCTTTGAAGCTAGACAAACCTGAATCTGAATCCCAGGTTTGCTACTTACAATCTTTTAAAATATATTTTTATTGAAGTATCGTCTGTTGAGTGGTTGTGGTTAAGTTATTTAACTTCTCTGAACTTCAGTTGTTCTGTCTGTAAAAGCAGATCATACTTAGCATTCAAAGCTGCAGAGAGAATCAATAACATGGCATGTGGAAATACTTTCTTACCAAGCACCTGGTACACAACTGATGTTTGTTTCTTTCCCTTTCTTGGTGAAATCAGTACCATATAGAAAGGAAATTACTAAGAACCAAACATCCTGTAAGCTTTCGAATTCAACTTCCTTTCTTAAAACTTTACAAGAATTGCTAAGTAATAGTAAAACAGATTCATTTCCTTCTTCTTTCCTTTCCTTAGCTACTCAGTAGGGTCGGTAGTAAGGAAGGGGAAAATGTCAGATACACACACTTAAAAAGAAAAATAAGAACTTGTATAGCTCAATTTTAAAAAAACACCTCATTTTTTAAATCAGCAAGAGCTCTGGGTAGACATCTCTCCAAAAAAGCTATACCAATGGTCAACAAGTATATAAAAAGATGCTCAACATCATTTGTCATTAGGGAAATGCATATCAAAACCACAATGACATACCACTTCATATCCACTAAGATGGCTATAATCATATCTTCAATAATAATAATAAAAAGATGGCTATAATCAAAAAAGTAGAAAAGTGTTGACAAGGATGTAGAGAAACCGAAATCCTTATACATTGCTGGTGGGAATGTAAAATGGTGTAGCTGCTTTGGAAATCTGTTTTGAAGTTCCTCAAAATGTTAAACTTAGAGTGACCCTCAGATGCACTCCTTCATATATACCCCAAAGAATGGAAAGCATATGTTTACACAAAAAGTTTTACACTCATGTTCATAGTAGCATTATTCACAAAGCAGAAGCCAAAAAGTAGAAACAACCCAAGCACTTATCAATGGTGAGTGCATAAATGAAATGTGGTCCATTCATACACTGGAATATTATTCAGTCATAAAAATGAAGTACGGATAATAAGCTACAACCTGGATGAAACTTGGAAACAGTACACCAAGTGAAAGAAGCCAGTCACAAGAGGTCACATATTGTATTATTCCATTTATACGAGATTTCCAGAGCAGGCAAAGCTATAGAGGCAGACAAGGTGGGTAGTGGCTGCCTAGGGCAGGGGCAGAGGAGCAGCAGAAATAGACTGCTAACAGGTAGAAGGTCTCTTTCCAGGGCGATCAGAATGTTCTAAAATCGATTGTGGAGATAGTTGTGCAACTCTGTGAATCTTTTGAAAAGAATTTCATTGAATGAGTTAAATTGATGAGTTGTTTGATATGCACATTATAACACAGTACAGCTACTTTTAAAAAAGGGAAAATGATGGACTGCCAGGCCCTAAAACAGAATAGTCAGCTCCATCTGACTGAGAAGATCACAGAGCTCAGGCTCAGACTGCGGACGGAGGAAGGGGCTCCAGACACATCTCCTTGACCTTGGGAGTTAGCCTCAGGGCCCTCAGTTATTCAGTATTCTCTTTTTGGGTGCCATTAGCACCTAACTACTCCACTGGATACTCTTGGGCATTGCCCTGTTCTGTGCTGCAGAGCACCTGCACCTTGAAGATGGTCCAACCTTGACCTCAATTCTTAGAGAGTCAATGAGATGTGAGGCTTCTTACAGCCCATAGTGAATTCAGGTCTCAAACCACCCTGCCTCTCAAACAAAAAGTTCAGCACACTTCATCAAAATCTCATCAAAAGGTCACATATCCTTGAGTTTATAGTTAGAAGGGGCACAAAGCGCCCGAAATCAAAGATTGACGTTTCTCGTGCATCTGAATTTTGTGGTGTAAGACTTATACTTGCTATAAGAGTCTCTGTAATACTTGAGAAAAAAAAAAAAAAAAGGACTACCTATAGAAGAGGACCAGGATATGGCAGTGCTAAAAATGAAGTTGAAATATAGTCCAATACTTACTTCCATACTTAGGTCATTATTCATGCTGGTGCAACCTGAAAGATCTGTTCCTGGGTGGGGGCCGGTGGCAGGGCCTGGGCACCTGGCAATACGAAGTAAAGTTCCTTACTACAGTGGAAAAATTGCAAATTTCAGCAGATCCCAACCTGTCGCATAGTTCCCCTTCCCCGCCCCAGTTTTACCAAACGTCTAATTGAGTTCACGGCTTAAGTAAGTCATAATGAAAGAGAGCCTGAAGCTCCAGCAGAGACAGGGTAAAAATCCCAGAGAATCCAGCCAGAAATGAAAATGAATTATTTGCAATTCAAAGTCGTGCTTCCTGACCCTAGATACAGAAAGGAAATTTCATTGCGGTAGATACCGCTCATAGACTCTACTGACATTTCTTTTTTTTGTTTTTGTTTTTTGTGGGATTTTTGTTGGTTTGTTTTCTGTTTTATTTTTGTTTTCAGGATGAGGTAAATCAGTTTATTTATTTACTTTAATGAAGACACTAGGGATCCAACCCAGGACCTCGTGCATACTAAGCACGCTATACCACTGAGCTATACCCTCCCCCTCCACTGACATCTCTGAGCTTTTTCTAAGGAAGATCAGTCTGTGCACTCTGACAAGTGAGTGAGCTCAGACAAGCTTCAGGGGAGAGTGAGTGTGGGGACAGGATTAGATTCCCAGAGATTTGTCCACCTGGAGCGTGAAGGAATAAAAAGATTACCAAAATCTGTCTGAATACATTAACTGAGCAGTACATAGTATGTTAAAAAAAACTGGGAAACATTTTAAGTAGCCTAATTTGTCTTTTACATTTTAGAAGGGGTATTATGAAATTCAAAAGAGCTAATAGGGAAAACTATAGAGGTATTTTTGCTTTAAAATTGTCAATTTTGGGGGGGAGGGTATAGCTCAAGTGGTAGAGCACATGCTTAGCATGCATGAGGTCCTGGGTTCTATCTATTTATATAATTAATATAAATTAATTAACATAATTACACCCACCCCCGCAAAAATTGTCAATTTTCAGAAAGTTAGAGAACTTATATAATAAAAATTACATAATAAAGAGATTATGAATATGTCTGTGCATGTATGACTGAAGCATTATGCTGTACA